ATTTTGATTTCGTTTTTATCTAGGGTTAGGGTTTTTCATTTATTCATGGATCAACAAGAGTCGGCAGCAATGGAGTCTTCTGCGATGGTGCAGAGAGAACTGGATCGGGTTAAAGGTCCCTGGAGCCCCGACGAGGATGAGAAGCTACGGCAAATCGTTCAGCGTTACGGCGCTCGCAACTGGTCAGTGATAAGCAAGTCGGTGCCGGGACGATCGGGCAAGTCCTGCCGGCTGCGGTGGTGCAATCAGCTATCGCCCGAGGTGGAGCACCGGGCGTTCACTCCCGAGGAGGATGAGATCATCGCCGGGGCCCACGCCAAGTACGGAAATAAGTGGGCCACCATCGCTAGACTCCTGAACGGCCGTACGGACAATGCGATCAAGAACCACTGGAACTCGACGTTGAAGCGGAAATTCTCGGCTCTCTCGCCGAACGAAGACGGCATGGCGATCGACGAAGGTTTACTTCGTCCGGATAAGAAAACTGCGACGGCGGCGGTGTCGTTTCCTGGTCTCTGTTACAGTCCGGGGAGCCCGTCCGGATCCGACGTCAGCGAGTCTGACGTTCCCGCCACCTCATCCTCTCAAATATTCCGGCCCGTGGCAAGAACCGCCGCTATCGTAACTCGGGAGTCGCCTCCGAGTCAGACTGAGTGGTGCGAGCCGTCGACTCTGCTGACTCTGTCATTACCGGGAGCGGAGGCGGCGATGCACGAGTTGCCAACCGATGAATCGGCCCCTCGCCGAGGACAGAGAACGGCGTCCTTGCAGCCGGAGAAGGAGACGAATGTCAATAACAGCAATACGATGTCGTTTGGGCCGGAGTTTATTTCAGTGATGCAGGAGATGATTAGAAAGGAAGTGAGGAGTTACATGGATGGAGTAGTGTGCTCACAGAGTGAGGGCGTGAGGAATGCTGGGGTTAAGCGCATTGGGATTAGCAGGCTCGATTAAAAGTCTAAAACCAGAAACGAAAACAGGGGATTAGGAAGTTAAGTAATCAGGATTAGGGAGTTGATGAGAAGACGACCCAGAAGAAAATTTTTAATTTTCCCTTTTTCCTTGGAAAAAAAAATAATTTTGAGAATGTACAGAAGGCTATCTATTACTTTTTAGAATGTACAGAAGGCTGTAGAAATTTGAATTTTCTTTCGATTTGTTGGACCCAAATTTCGGTTGTTGATTTGATTATGGCACTGTTTCGAAATCTCGAAATGAAGTAGCTCACTGTTGTTTTAATCCTATCCCATCGCTTCCACCCCTTTCTCCATTCCACCGCACTTTGCCATCTCAATTGAATCCAAAATTCAATTGTGGAGGAGAACGGGCTTCCGATCTTCACGACGGAACTTCTCTGGAGCCTTCATTCTTTTCTCCACGTCCACTAAGCTCATGCAGTTATCCGTGCATAAAGCAGTATAGGCTTGCTGGAACTTGTCAACAGTAGAGTTGATCTTCAACATAGTATCTCATACATGTTCCATAGTATGGGGGGCCTATTAGCATGAACATCGTCACTCTCTGGGGTGGTTGCGGCCTTAGGAGTTTGATAGCTCACTCTCGGACTGGCGGTAACAGTGTCGCTGGTGTGGTTACTGCTGACCTGCGCAACAGAGGTATATGCAGCTGAGCCGCCATCATGTGTTTTGTCAATGCCAGCGTTGACAAGCTTTCTTCAAGGTTCATCTTTAAGGGGTAAAGTGATCTGGTCGAGAGGTTCTTGAGTTCAACTCTCAATGAAAGCGTCAATTGTTGGAACCAAATCCCTGCACCACCATGAGTAACAAAGATGCTCGAATCCATTTACTTGTAAAAGAACACACAACCGTAAGTAAGCCTAGAACGGGGGGATGGGGGTTGTGGTGGTCAAAAGCTGTCTGACGGTCAAGTTAGTAAGCAATATTATGATTCAAGCAATGGGTAAGAGAATAACTATGTAATACATTGCCAGAGATGAACACTAGAAGGATGTATCTATACTAGTCGAGGAAAAGACCTTTTAGGATATTAGAATCCATATTAAACCGAGAGAATCTATAAGGATATCTAAGAAATAAATATTGCATCCTCTTAGGAGTGTGATTACTTGCGGTGCACGCCAATCCTTATACAATAAGGACTCCAAGATTATAGGAAACATGTTGATTTCTTGTTGGATTAGGTTCTCGAATCTTGCGGAACAAGAATGGTCTCTCTTAACAAAGTCGGCGGACTTCGCCCATTGATTCCGGAACAAGATGATGGTGGCATCAATGACCAATTTAGTGAACAGGATGATGGTGGCATCAATGACCAATTTAGTTAACTCCATTATACAAGTTGTTTAGTCCATGACCAGACTTTAAGGTATGACCATAGAAAATCATGGTGTCCACAAGGTGGGAACCTCTTGTGATAGGGTCGGACGGCTGATGTAGTAGAGAATTCTTATGTTAAGTCGAGCACTATTTATAGTCTTGAAATCAATACAATCTGAGTGACACAGTGGATGTAGCCTAGTTATATCTTAAGTCCATCCCACTTTAGTTTCTAGCCGCAGCTTACCAAGGGCTTGTTGTTTTAATTTGTTAACTAGCAAGTTTTGAGCATTAACATTCTCTTCTGTTTTGAAAACTAAAGCGTTTGAGATGCGACGTCATCATCCTGCCGATTTGTCGCCATTTTTCTAACAGTTGTGATTAGTTGATCAGGGATATATAAACTAAGCTTCAGAAGTTCTTCTTTATTTTCCTCTTCTTTTGAACCGAAACTCTGCCAAATTTTCTTCTGCATTTTTCTTTGATTATGAAGAACTTGTGCCTACAAATCTCCAACATTCTTTATCAATTTTCTTTAGGTTTATCCCACAAAATGGTATTTTTCTTAGCCACTATATAATGTAAATCAGTCGTGACTTTAAATTGTTCTCTTGAATTTTGCCTTGCTGGTTGTCATCGGCGAGGATCACCATCGTTAAACCTTCATAAGATCGAGTCTGGGTAGATTGCCCAATAGACCAACTAGAATTATGACCTTCTCAATCGTGCACCTATCAGCCCTAACACTTAGGAATTTGTAATTTTGAATAGACTACCTTCATATTTCTCTTTTCTTTTCTAAAGTTAAAACTATTTGTAGATACCGAGCACACACAATGTTGACCATTCCAGACTTTAAGAATTGTTAATGGTGGGCCCATTTAGGCCCACCGACAAGCATAAGCCCAAGGAAAGGTTAAAGAGCGTAAAGCCCAAAGAGTTTAGAGATGGCCGACCCAAGTGCTCAGGTTAATTGAGATGAAAAAAGTCCTACTCGACTGAGAAGAACACGTGGGTGTGCCGACAACTTTATGGCACAAGTCTCCAAGAACAGAACTACTCAAGTACTATTTAGACTACTCAACAACGTGTAGACAGTAGTAGAGGCCTAGGATGGGACATAAGAGCAGTCAGGGCAGTGCTCGCCAAGGCAATTCAGAGTAACTAAGTTTCGAGCGGGACGCTCGGGCCACCTCAGCCTTAAAAGACATGCAATCTGACTACTAGAACGTCACTTCGTCAACAAATGCTAGGGTAAGTAGGTGAAAAGCTGTTAGTAAGCTAGCAAAGGTGGTTGACACATTAAATGCTGGTTTAAGAGGCCTTAAGAGGGAAATACCTATATAAAGGGGTACATAACTTCATTATGGAGGTCAGATGAATCAAAGAGGATAGACTGAATATATTAGCCGAGTGCTATTTAGATTTGAAATCAATATCTTGAGAGCAACATAGTGGGTGTAGCCCAGTTTTGAAGGGTGAACCATTTCTATCTTTGATACCATCTTATGTCATTTAATTAAGTTTTTTAACCTTACAATTTTGATCGTTAACAAGAATGATGGCTGAGAGGCCCAAGATTACGAGCACTTAGTTGGGAGTTAATGCATTGACTTTGAAGCCATAACGGACCTCACTAAAGCACTCAAGGATGATTTACCGTAGAAGACCTGAGTTGCTGACTTCAACTTCTCCAAGTTCCTCCGCTCATGGCAAGGAGCAAGGAGAAAAGTCAAAGGATTTAAAGACAAGATTAATAACTAATCCCTATTTTAAGCTTTCCTTATTTAAGACGAACTCAATTAAGGAATCACAATCAAATCCAATCAAGGATACTACGAGATAATCCCAAGATATTATTATTATTATTTATTAAAAAAAATGCCAATATATTATTAACTAGACAATATCTTCAGATTAATTCTCTACTCTATTTAGCAGACAACACACCTTGGCCAATTGGATGTCGACACGACATGAAAAACCTTGCAAATGTGGTCGGCCCTATGCTATATAAATACCCCATTATAATTAATTTATGGTAAGTTTTTACTATGCAACCTAAACTCTCTTAGAAAAAGGGGATAAATTTGTATGTAAATCTTCATTGATACCAAACTCACATCTATGGAAGCATTTCGACTTTGTCAAGAATTAGATTCAATGATAATAAATAGGGTATATATATTACAAATGGTTCCTAAAATTGACCCACACCATCAAGATGATCCCTGAAATTGAAAATCCTAAAAATCACAAATCAACGTGGCCCTTCCATCATAATTCTGTCAAAAATTCTGTTATGTATTGATGTGGCTAGGGGTGGGCACGGGTCGGGTTGGGTCCAAATTTGGAGGGATGAGACCAGACCCGTTTTAAAATGTAACAGGCCGAGTATAAGAAATCTGAACTTTAGAACCGAACCTAACCCGCCCCGAAAAAAGTGGTCGGTTCGGGGCAGATCCACGGGTCTTTTTTTTTTTTTTTTTTTTACAAAGTTTCGTTTCCATAAATAGCTATATATAAGTATATTTACAGCCATCTTCCCTTACATATATCGTTGCCCAGAAAAAAACCAAACTTATTGATTGACGTTTATGATCTTTAAACGAATTCATGATATGGACTGAGATTAATCACCAATTGATTCATGTAAACATCTGAAAAGAGATGCCAAACAAAGAAGACAACATGAGGAAGGACTGGGAAGAGAAACCATATAGCATTTTAGAAATTCAAAACTTTGAGCCTTGTAAACCGAGTCTTTGAATTATAGTCTCACAAATAGTTTCCACTATCAATAAAATACTCAATTTACTTTCAAGCTTGTAGATTCAAAGCAGAGATTGCACATTGCACAGGTTGCTGAACACTTAAAGATCGTAGCAAGGTGTTGTACATTTGTAGATTTGGACAATAAATAAATTCCCATTCAGTGCTATACAACAAGTCTGCAAGTTTGAACAATACATTAATTCCCAATTCAAATTTCAAACATTATGGAATGCCCAGTAGGTACGATATGAACATTTGAACACTAAATCCCTAAATTCCAAAATCCCAATTTCTACGAAGGAAAATTTATGGATTGTGTTTGGGGTATGAAGAACTACCCAATAGACTGAGAGATTGTAGAAAACCCTAACTCTCAAATCTAAAAATTGATCAGAGAGAATTAGAGATTGCAGATAACCATAAATCCCTAAGTTCAAAAAATTAACTAGAGAGTTAAAAATTAAGAGTTCAGAAATTATATTACCTTAATTTGTAAGGAGATGAGATGACGATGGTGGTCTCAATTCGGAAAGATGATGGTGTTGGTGGTTGTTGGGTTACCACCACTGACATTTGAGGGAGACGAAGATGGAGTTGAGGGTTGTGGAGTCTAAGATGTCAAGGACTCATCTCGAGCCCAGTCTCATGTTCTTCACTTTTCCCTCTTTCTGTCGAGAAAAGTAGCAGCGGCTGCGAGTCCAAGGTCAAGGACATGTCCTAGGCCGACTTAGGCCGCCTCGAGATCGAGCTTGCTGAGGTCGAAATGCCTGGCCTCGTCTCATGCCGCACCGAATTTGTCTATTGTTGTTGCTACTTTGATGGATGGCTGCTATCGAAGACTCGACTCGAGCTCAAATCGTGAATAAATGGAGAATGGGAGACTAAATGACTTAATCTGTGAGATGAAAATATTGCAATTAATGGTGAAAAGTAGGACCCAAACTGCAGGTACCCGCCCCGACTTGTGGGTACAGAACCCGTTTACCCACTCCTAGATGTGGCACATAAATAAGGTCCACAAGATGCAAGAGTTTTTATCACAAATGGTCCTTAAAATTAATCCACAAGATCAAGATGGTATCTGAAATTAAAAATTGATCAACGTAGTACCTGAAATAGGTGTCGTAAATCAATATGGTCATTCTGTCACAATTCTGTAAAAAAAAAATCTGTTATGCACTGATATGGGTTTAATAATTAATTAAAAAAGTTGTCAAAACACCTTTTTCAATAGTTAGATTATCTCAAGGCAGAGCTTGCCGTTCTTCGCGTCACCAAGATCCAGGGAAGCACCCAACAAACTCTCCAAGGTTAAGGTTGTGAAGTTGTCAATCGTCCTAATTTTGATGATGAAGTTACAAAAGTCGTCACCAGTCCAAGCTGTCACCAAAGGTAGTCTCGATTCTGGTTCAATTTGACAAATGATCTCAACGGGTGTCAAGGTAAGTGTCTTAAGAATTTTCTTTTTCAGAGACAAGACGATGAAGGCTACCATAAATAGAGGTAGAAGAGTATGGGTTTGGATTAGAGGTGATTGTGGAACCAAATTTTTGGATTGACAATTTTTCTAATTAATTATTAAATTATGAGTTTTTATCACAAATGGTCCTTGAAATTTACCCACCCCATCAATATGGTCCTGAAATTAAAAATCAATCAATATCATCCCTGAAAATGAGTCGTGGAAATCAATGTCGTCTTTCCGTTTAAATCCGTTAAAAAAATCTGTTAATGTGCTGACGTAACACATTATGAACCTCTCACTTTAATATTATAATGACATGTGGATTAAAAAAAATTAATTTTTTAATTTGGCCTTTGCATTAATTAAATAGAAAATAAAAAAGGAAAAAAAGGGGAAACAAAACGACTCTATTACAATGAATTGTTTAGTTTAACCTTTGAATTCCTCCATTTCCTCCTCTTCTCATTTTCGTCTTTTCATCAACAATGCTCAGAAATCAACAATATCCATCCCAGTAACAATAATAATAATAAAAGCCATCATACATAAAAGAAATCTTTATACATCCATAACCACCAGCTACTAAAACAACATTTGCTTCTAAAAAAACGAACGCGAACTCAAACCGTGAATGCAGATCTGAAGGCCAGAGTGGCAACAAAGGCAGAGAAGAATGAGGAGGAGATGGATGCCGTGGGGGAGACTAGGCTAGGAGTCGGAGTCTCCTAGGCGGCGTCGATAGCCGAGAGGACGAGGAAGAGGACTACCATGAGGGTGACGACTGAGGATGCCTTTGAGACTACCATTGTTGATAGGGTTTGGACCTCTGTGTGCTTTTAGGAATCAGGGGTTTTTTTAAGATGCAGAGAGACTGAAAGCACATGTATATGAGTTGAGGTGAGAGGTCGAATCAATTACCCAAAATAATGAATAACGATTAGGAAAAAGAAGACTGGTTAAGGTTGCGGAAGAAAGGTTGCTAGAGTAGCTGCAATCTCTAGTCCTCGTTTCATTTTTTTTATTTAAAAATAAACTTTATTTTCGTAAAACAAAGGTGAATTAAAAATAAACTTTCCACTAATCCATGTGGTATCATAATTTAGAGTGAGGGCCCACAATGTGCCACGTCAGCACATTAACAGATTTTAAACAGAATTTAAATGGAAGGACGACATTGATTTACACGACCCATTTTCAGGGACGACATTGATCGATTTTCATTTTGAGGGACCATGTTAATGTGGTGAGTCAATTTCAGAGACCATTTGTGATAAAAACCCTTAAATTATTAGACATATTTCTAATTCAATTTTTATTTAGTTAGACTTGTAAGTCCATTTTGCCACATTAACACATAACAAAATTTTTGATAAAATTAAGATGGAATGACCACATTGATTTGAGACATATATTTTAGGACTACATTGATCGATTTTCAATTTCAAGAACCATCTTGATGGGGTTCAATTTCAGGGACCATTTTTAATAAAAATGATGACTTGTTGGACCCATTTATGTGCCACATCAACACATAACAAAATTTGATAGAATTATGACGGAAGGATCACATTGATTTGCGACACCTATTTTCACGGACTAGATTGATTGATTTTCAATTTCAAGGACCATCTTAATGGTGTAGGTCAATTGCAGGGATCATTTGTGATATCCCTTAATAAATATATAGAGTAGTGCTATCCACACACCTATTTTTATTTCTCACATGCACTTCTCTATCTCCGGCCATTGGAAAGAATGAATGGAAGAAGATCAATAACCAAAAATTAATAAGGGTACGTGGAAGCTAAAAATGAGTGTGTGAAAAGCATTATCCTAAATATAAATTCTCCTCACCACCTTCCCTTTTATCTGAAATCACTTTCAGGAAATGATGTATACAAACATTTTTTTAACCTCACACTCCCATGTTTAATTTTGTTTGTTGTTTCCGTATGACGTATTTAAACAGATAACTAAAAATAAAGAGGTGTGTGAGAACCTAAAAACAATGTGTTAAAATAAATCATTGCCTCAACAAATGGTTTGGAATAGAATGCAAATTTTATAAGCTACGCTATTGTTCGAATTTTCTCATTAATGAAAGCAGGCACATGACCCTAAGAGCGTTTCTACCCCTAAAAGCCCTATTGAGTTGTAGGCAACTCAATCCTCCAAATGAATTGTAAGTGTCTGTAGTAAACAGTAACAACCTAAGTGCATCTCTACCCCTAAACTGAATAACTTAGACAATTTGTATTAAAATATATATATTTTATATAAAATAATTTATTTTTAATTTCGAATAGGATTTTCAACCAGTCTTGTCATACCACGTGTTATTATCCTAAAGTACAATATTTATGGATAAATTTTGAAGGAGTTTTTTAACCAATTTCGTAGCACCACGAGTCATGATGTTGTAAGAATTTTGTGGATAGATTTCCGATAAGATTTTTAACCAATCCCGTCGTGCTATATGTCACTATCTATTTATAATCTTTAAGAATAGATTTCAATAAGATTTTTAACTAATCACGGTGTGCCACGTGACATTATCTACAGCCTCATCCTTTTTTTTTCTCCTCCATATAAACCTTACATCCATCCTAAAGTCATACACGAAAATCAAAATTTCTTAGATCCTTCTTCATAGTTTATAAATATTGAGTTCTTACAATGTCTTCTTCAAGGAGATTGTTAGAAATCGATGAGTAAGATAAAGAATTGTTTAAGTAAGATGAAGATTGTTCAATCTCAAGGAGGGAGAAATGAGGTGTTTGAAATGGAAGAGGAAGAGGATGAAGAATGTAGAATGAGAGATGACGAAGCAAGAAGCGAGAAAGCCTCACATTCCCATCATGTCATGCAAGCTGTGGGTGAGATCTTTAGACCCAGGTGTTATGCAAACCTCAATAGAAAGAGGGAACAACAAGGTAAAGATCTCTTGAACGATTATTTTGTCCCGAACAATGTATACCCTAATTGCTGTTTGCAACCATGATCTATATTTTGTGCAAAAGAAGAATGCTTTTAATGCTAGAGGTCACATTCCCGAGCAAAAAAAATTACTGCTGCCTTGCAAATGCTTGCATATGGAGCCTCTGCAAATTAAGTGATGAGATAGCGAGGATAAGGAAATCAACCATTCTAGAGTCCCTGATGAGGTTTTGCTTCGCAATCGAAGTTATTTACACCAAAGAGTACCTCCGGAGACTCATGACAATGGACCTGCAAAGGCTTCTAAACAAGGGGTGAGATGCACGATTTTCCTGACATGATTGGAAGCACTGACTGTATGTAATGGACCTAGAAAAATTGCCTAAGTGAGTGGCAAAGAGCTTATGGAGACAGAAAATAAGCCAAAAGTATCATTTTGGAGGCGATGGCATCATTTGATACATAGATTTGACATTTTTTTTTCAGTGTTCCAAGAGCTCAAAATAACCTCAATGTCCTTACCCAATCCCTAGTGTTCAATGATGTGCTGCAACGAAGAGCTCCTCAAGTCACATATACAATAAGTGGAACCGTATACTCGAGAGTATCTAGTAGACGACATTTACTCAATGTGGATATCATTTATCAAAACAATGTCACACCCACAAAGTGAAAAGAAAAAACACATAGCAAGATGTCAAGATGGGTGTAGGAAAGATGTGGAACGTTGTTTTGGTATCCTCCATGCTCGTTAGGTGATTGTCAGGGGTGCTGCCTGATTGTTTGATGTAGAGGTGCTTCGAACCATCATGATGATGTGTATCATTCTCCATAATATGATTGTTAAAGATGAGTATGATTATGATGCCATTGATGAATTTGAACCAGACACGATGAACAATTCTATGACACAAATATATTAAGCTTATGATGCCACCGAAGGCCCCGTGCAACCTGAAAACATTGGAAAGGGATGGACATTACAATCAAAGACTCATTGAACGGAATACTTCAATGAAATCTCCATACATTCACAAAAGCCGCCAAAGTGACTTGATTGAGCAATTGTGGGGATTGAAATAAGCTCAAGAAACTTACAACAAGCTTGTGGTGGAAGAAAATGCTCTTAGTTTATCTAGTGTATTTCTGTAATTTTATTTGGTGTGTTTTTTTTTTTTTTCTTTTTTTCTTAAGCTTATTTGGTGTGTTTTTATAATTTTATTTGGTGTGTTTTTATGATTTTATTTCATGTGTTTTGTAATTTTATTTGGTATTTTATGTTGTTTGAATAAAGATGCTCTTAGTTTAAATAAACTACTAAATTAAATAAAGTACCAAATTAAAAAAATACGAAATTACATAAAGTACTAAATTAAATAAATACAAAATTTCAACTCAAGGTGCATGGAAATTTATGGGCTTCGATTTTACAACAAATTCTCTACAAATCACCAAACCAA